ATGCTGCATTTATAAGACTGCGTCTACACTACAGCGGAAAGTTGACTTAAGATATGTCAATTCCAGCTACATAGTTAACATAGCTGGAGTTGCGTATCTTAAGTAACATTTCCACCCCGTCCACATAGCATATTTGTTCCTGTCAGCTTACCATACTCCTTATGAGGTGCAAGAATACTGGTGCTGATGGGGGCGTCCTCTGAGTTTGATTTAGTGGGTCTTCACTAGACCTTCTAAATCGAACCCTGGAAGATCGATCGTGGAAGTGTCAATCTTTTATGTAGTGTAGGCATGGCCTAAGTGATTTGCCCTGTTGCACAGGCAAGAACCAAACCCAGTCCTCACGAATGACCTTACCTCAAGATCATCCTTGCTTTCACTCCTGGGCTTCAGAGGAGAGACTCCTGATCTACATTTGTGGGCAAGGAGAATCAGGATTCCCTCTTCCCTGATCTATAAGCCACACATTGCCCTTTTTTAACACCCTCCCCGACACTGGGCATAGGTACATTTTGCAGTTCTGACCTGAGCACAGTTAATTTGTTCTGAGCTGTTGCTGCAGTTTTGCTATTAGTCTCCTGGCAAACCTGTCACTGTATCCCTGAGATGAAGGCAATTTCTTGGGATTTCTTCCCTATGCTGTTCCCTGGCATTTATTTGATTTATTTAAGCATTTCCCATTTGCCAGCTTATGCATCTGGAACCCCTGCTTTGCCTCTACTTGCAGAAAATGTCATCAGCCAGGGCTTAAGCCTACGCATATGAATGTCTTTATTTTATTTTATGGCACTGAATACATACCATTCCCGAGGTTTGCAGAGGATACCCATGGCAAGTAATAAGATGCAGTGCCTCAGACCCAGACAGCTTGGGAGTGTTACCTGGGCATGTCTTGTTCAGCACAAGGCAATGGAGGTGATAAAATGGGAGAGCAGGCAGCCAAAACTGGGCATAATGTGCATAAAAGAGGAGAGCACAGCTGCTTGGGAAAATGGAATTGGTCCTGCCTAGAGCAGGGGGCTGGACTTGATGACCTTCTGAGGTCTCTTCCAGTTCTATGGTTCTATGAAAATGAACCTGGGGAAATGACTGCAGGACACTGGAATGGGATGGTGCCAACCTTGGCAGCTGAAGATGGAGCTGGAACTGGAAGTCCAGAGCAGGCCTGGGTTCTTCTACCAGCCACTGGGGATGTGGTACAGAGCAGGCAGTGGAAAGCAGACTGCCTGAGACAGTTTGTCCTGAAAAGCTTTGGGACCCTGGAAGAGGAGGACCCTGGTGATCTGGTTGGAGGGCTAAATTGCAAAGAAGGAGCATCTGGAGTTGCAGGGATGGATGGAGAGACTGTCACAGGAAGCAGCTAATCCCCAGAACATGCAGGAAAAGCTCCCCCCCCAAAGGTGAATGGATCCTGTGACAGTGTCACAGCCTTTGCAAATGTTGAGTGGATCAAGAACATATGGCTGGGGAAGTTGCAAGTAAAACAAGCTAGAAATGTGGCTGCAAGATTAGAGGCCCAGAAATCTAAGGCACGTGATTTCAGCCAAACTATAAACAAGTGACAGAGTCCTGCCCTTGAGACAGAAGACTCCCAAGCACTGCTACAGGCTGGGGACTCACTGGCTAAGCAGCAGATGGGCAGAAAAGGACCTGGGGGTTACAGCGGATGAGAAGCTGGAAATGAGTCAACAGTGTGCCCTTGTAGCCAAGAAGGCTAACGGCATATTGAGGTGCATTAGTGGGAGCATAGCAAGCAGATCTAGGGAAGTGATTATTCCACTTTATTCAGCATTGTTGAGGCCACATCTGGAGTATTGCATCCAATTTTTGGCCTCCATTACGGAAAGGATGTGGATGCATTGGAGAGAGTCCAGTGAAGGGCAACAAAAATGATCGAGGGCTGGAGCACGTGATTTACGAGGAGAGGCTGAGGGATTTGGGCTTAGTCTACAAAAGAGCAGAGTGAGGGGGGATTTGATAGCAACCTTCAACTACCTGAAGGGGGATTCCAACGGGGATGGAGAGCAGCTGTTCTCAGTAGTGATGGATGCAGAACGAGGAACAATGGTCTCAAGTTGCAGTGGGGGAAGTCTAGGTTGGATATTAGGAAAAACTATTTCACTAGAGAGGTGGTGAGGCTCTCGAATGGGTTCCCTAGGGAGGTGGTGGAATCTCCATCCCTAGAGGTTTTTAAGTCCTGGCTTGACAAAGTCCTGGCCGGGATGATTTAGTTGGGACTTGTTCTTGTTTTAGCAGGGAGTTGGATTCAATGACCTCCTGAGGTTTTATCTAGCCCCCATGATTCTATAAACCAGACATTCTTTCCTTGTAGTTAAGTGTATCATGAATAATCTGCCTTTTACCCCAAATTATAATCTGCTCATTTATTTGCCTTGTAAATCAGATCTACATCCTTCTACGTGTGGAAAATGTCTCTTGTTCTATTGGAAATCCTAAATAATGTAAAATGGTTAGTTGGATCAAAGAATGCATGGTATAGCTGTCCCAAAGTCAGAAATGTATAAAGATTGTGTTGGTTGTTATTGTGAGTAATTGTTGCACTCTAGGGCTGTGTCCAGACTCAGGGTTTTTTTCGAAAAAAGTAGCCTTTTTTCGAAAAAACTTCCCCTGCGTCCAGACTCAAGCCGCGTTCTTTCGAAATTAATTTGAAAGAATGCGGCTTTTCTTTCGATGGCAGTAAACCTCATTTCACGAGGAAGAACGCCTTCTTTCGAAAGTTCCTCTTTCGAAAGAAGGCGTTCTTCAATGTAAATAGGGCTTCTTCAAAAGAGAGCAAGCCGCTTTTTCGAAATTTCTCCGTGCAGTCTAGACGCTCTCTTTCTAAAGAGGCTCTTTCGAAAGATGCTTTCGAAAGAGCCTCTTTCGAAAGAGGCTTGCAGTCTAGACATAGCCTAGAAGTAATAGGAACTGTCCGT